ATAATGAAGTAAGTATTTGTTATAGCAAATATCCAAATCATAGGAGTCTAAAGATGTTGGTAATGGTTTGGATGATTATATTTCTTCTGTAGGGTCGCTTGCCATTTTAAGCTCGGTTCTCACAGCTGCGCAGGTATCCAAAATCTGCTCTATACATTGAGTCTGACTAATAACTTGGTCCTCTGTGTAAGTAAAGCAATTGTTAATATAATAGCAATTGTTAATATAGTAGCAATTGTTCTGTAGTAATGCTGATCTGATATATACTATTAAAATGTGGTATTACTGATCTAATATGTACTATTAAAATATCTGTATAATTTAAACAGAAGAGTGGTTTGGGCTATAAAATATAGTACTACACTTATATATCTGACTACATCTGATTATATACTCCAAAAATATATATTGAAATAAATATATAACTTCTATTTTTCTTATATAATATTATTGAACTTATATATTCTGACTACATATTATCAAAGTATTCCTTAAATTGTAATACAGGCAAATTTGCTTGCGTTCATTTTTTAAACTTTAATTTTTTAATAAAATCTTAAATATTAATTTTAGCAATATATTTTATAAGTAGCTACGTGATATTATCATGCAAAACCAAGAACAGAAAGAGAGATCTTAATTTATGAATAAAGTAAATTTAGTACCAATTAAATAGAATATATTGAAATAATTTATATTCAACAAAAAAAAGTGAAAGAATCTAAAACTACTAAAATATATATACAAACTTTAACTTGCCAATTATTTCAGCGACTTGTAAATTCAAATAAATTTTATACACCCAACAAACCGAATACAAAAAAAAAATAAAAACAAATATAAACTAACTTAATCAATATTCTTAATACTTACAAAGTTAATGCTAATAAAAAGAATAAATATATATACAATATTCGGCAAAAATTTTGAATAATAGTAATTTGGTTTAACTAGGCAAATAAACATATATCATCCAATCATTTGCCTGGTTGAGCCAAATTATCATTATTACCAAATAATGATATTATCTAACAACTGATTATGATTGGTAGAGAAATATAAACTGAATTTTAATTTTAGTAAACGTGAATATTTCGTAATATATGAAAAAAATAATATTTATGATTATAAGAGTTTGTTAGATAATAATTTGAGTTGACGTAAAGTCAATAGATCAAAAAAATGCTAAGCATGGTGAGATGTCTTGTAAAATTATCAACCGAAACAAGTCTAATTTCAGATGATCAAAGTTAGATTTGAAAGCCTTTCTGCAAGCATTAATTTTTAACTCAAAAGCAGCAATATGAAGAAAGATAAACTCTTAGAAAATGCAATCAGGACCTATATCAACAATTACTTACTCAGCTGCGACAGACTACAATTCATAACCCACCCTCTTCCAAAGGAAATTATTATTTTCATAAATACAACTATAAATATCAATATCAATATCATATATTTATACTGATGGCTAGCCTGCATTATGCGGATGAGTTAACACAAACTTCTGTATATGTAACAATATTACGTATATTAATTAGTACAAACTCAACTGCTATATAACATCACATGTGCTAAGCCGCACAAACTCAATAACATCATATGCATTACAGTAAGCTACACCAATTAACTGCTATATATATCACATATGCTAAGCAATACAAACTTGACTGCTATATAAGTATGAATACTATATACATTTACATACTGATAGCTAGCTTGTATTGAGCAAGCAAGAAACTATCAGCTAGCATTAAGCTGCACAAACTCAACTGCTTATAGTTATCTCCCAGCACAATATTATTGCTATTTCCGAGATCATATCCCATTTCAGTTTTCAGCTATTATCATAATTCCTAGGACACCTAATAAAATTTGCCGAATGATTTTTTAGCCGATTTGATTAAGTTATTGATTTTGGCATGATCAGTATATAAAAAAATTTTTTTTATACTGCATGTAGTATCATACTTGTTTTACAAATAATTTTATCTTTATAATATAGATACATTCATATAAAATAAAATATATATATTGATATATATAGTAAAAAAACTTTC